TGTTTGTTATGGCGCTTAATAGCACGGATTATTTTATCGTTGATCTCGGTAAACTTACATAGGATATACGCGGTCGATATATAGCCCATCACTGTACCAGTGACCGTGGTGCTGAATAAATCGTAAATACAATATAGTCCACTAATATATGGAATTGAAAGTACCACCACATTGAGCATGGTAAAGTCACTAACCCAGAGGAATAATAATGTGAACGTAGAAACCAATACAAGCACAAACCCTATACTGAAGTACGCGCACTTAATAAGTAATACGATTACGCATAACTTAGCCGCAATTGATTTCTCCATGCTAACATTTAATGGATATTTAAGCATGCCATGTTTTAAGAAATAAAAGAAATTGGAAACCAACAAAATATTATTAAGTTGATGGTAATAGATGCACCAATAAAGCAACATGTTCAATACGATTGTTGTTGCTACAACTGTACCAGTTAAATACCTATCGCCTAAATAAGCATCTATAGGGACCATCACCGAACGAATACCCTGGTCATCAATGATCATGTATGAAACGATCAACAAGAAAGCTACTGTTAAAATTGATTGCCCAATGATCAGCTTGATCAATCTAGTAATCGAATAATAACCGCTCATTAAATTGTCAAAAGAATCGGATAGTGTACAGGTGAAATATTTTAGATATTTCTCGTTTTTGGACAATTGCTGGCTAATCAATCCGTTCGCTTCAATGTATGCCCATATCATGTTAATAAATACATATTTGAGTTGTGTCAATTTGGTGTGAATCCTAATCAAGTTTACGGGAATAATATTAAACAACATTTTGGAAATTTTAAAATATTTTAAACTTATATTTTAATAGACTTATGCGTTAGTAAAGCTTTATTGTATTTGTGAAATTAACTCACAATTACCATGGCAACTCATTGTTATTCATATATTTTACAATTTTTAATTACAAATCAATTAATCGAAAACCAATAAAATTATAACCAAAATAATGATTAAATGATAATATATTATGCTTACAATATGGGAAAACGGAAAATAGTCTTATCTCAATAATTTGATAATTATTTCCAAAAAATCAATGATACTATTTTAATTGGTATCCATTATTTATTAGTAATAATTATTAACATAAAATAAATCTCCACAATAAAACAAAATATTATAAGCATTCAAACCGTGTGTTTCATACGTAAGTAAACTAATTATCTCATGAATTGAAGACTATGGTCAGTAGCAATTTTTACATTATACGTTGTCAATTTAGGATCCTGGTCAATGAAAATCTAGCTTTCTATACTGTGCAAGCAATGTACATCATGTACTGTATAATGTGTATTTTAGCCAATATATAATATTATTGTTTTATATTTAAAAACTTTTAGAATAAGTAATATAACTTAAAACAAAAGTTTTAAAAAAATAAATCTTAAGTTTTGTCAAAAATGACATATTCGGCTTAAAATTGATGAAAATGAACAACATGATTCAATTACTATATAAAACTAATTCAACTTTATAAAACAAAGTGTATAGAAAATACTGACCAGTGTAAATATTTTGATCGGTATATGTATGTACGTTCATTCGGTCGACCGGTTTGTTAGACAACATTCGACTCATTGCGTCAACTGTTTTACATTGAAAAACTTGTGGCACCCGATTAGACTTGTACAAAACGAAATAATCTCAAAATCTGGAGAACCTTTCTAGAAATATTTCTCCACTCTCCGGAAATATTTCTAGAAATAATCATTCAATGTCAGGCCCATGTTAATTATTTTTAAGTAGTAAATAATTTAAATTATATACTGTTAATCGTGATTTACTAATTAATTATTAAGTATACATCAATTCTAAATAGAGCACCCCTTATTTTCATGTATCAATACAACTAAATTCCTAATAAAAATTATTTTAAAATTTATTAGAAAATAATTTCTTAAATAATTCATTGATGGCGCTGTATGTTATTTGAACGGTTTAACATCTTGACAGAATTTTAACAGATATTATTTTAAATATTTGATTATAGAGAATAATGGGGATTGACTTATATGCATTTCGTGCATTTCAAAGCGAGAGAGCTAGTTATAAATTTAATTATTTTTAAATATTAAATTATTATTANGGTTTAACATCTTGACAGAATTTTAACAGATATTATTTTAAATATTTGATTATAGAGAATAATGGGGATTGACTTATATGCATTTCGTGCATTTCAAAGCGAGAGAGCTAGTTATAAATTTAATTATTTTTAAATATTAAATTATTATTAATTTTATATAAATATATTTAAATGTACTATAATTAAATCAGTTAATAATTTACTAATTATATTTGTAATCACATATTAATAGCTCTCTCTCCCATTGAGGGCCACAAAATTGGGATAGAGAGCTATTAAAATGAGATTACAATTATAATTAGTAAATTATTAAGTGAGTTACTTATAGTACATTTAAATATGTTTATATAAAATTAATAATAATTAAAGTTATAACTAGCTCTCTCGCTTTGAAATGCACGAAATGCATAGAAGTCAATCCCAGAATAATGTTTAAATGTATTTATTCTAACGTACCGTCAATTAAATTCTGCCGTAAAAATTAATTGAAATAATTGTAACTTATAATAATACTACAATATTAAAAATCATATCATTTTAAAGCTTTGTTTTCTGACTGTAAATCAAAAAAGAAATGATTTCATTTGAATTTGTAATCAATAAATAATGACTAATAAACGAGAGGTAGTCCTCAACCGCTTTTTGCCATCAATGCAAAAACCCATTATAAAAATGTATGTGTTTTGGAGTTTTGACAAAACGCACTCTCCTTGCAATGCTATTCAATGGGAAACTCTCGCAAACCCCTTATCAGGACTACCTCTCGTTTATTAGTCATTATTTATTTATTAAAAATTCAAATGAAATCATTTCTTTTTTGATTTACAGTCAGAAAACAAAGCTTTAAAATGATATGATTTTTAATATTGTAGTATTATTATAAGTTACAATTATTTCAATTAATATTTACGGCAGAATTTAATTGACAGTACGTTATTAACCTAATAAATTAGTTACATTGTAAACCAAGTTTAAGTATTTTCAGTTTCTAACTATTTAAAATTATAATGCTATTAAATTTTTAAATAATATGGGCTTGATAATATAAATTTATCATGGGCCTGACAATCCTGTACTATATAATGAACCTAATATAATCTATGACAAAATTTTAAAATTAAAACATTTAATTTTTGTATTTTGAATTATAATATAAATAAAGTTATAAAATATTTAAATAATAAATGCTAAAGCTAATTTATCTAGCTATTTATTATAATAAACACTAATATGATTTAAATTTATAATACATACTTATGTTACTGGCTAACTATCCATGGCAATAGTAACCACTCAATTTACTTTCACTTCACGATGCTTCCGATTAAGTATTTATAAAAAATTCAATATATGATTACATTTTATTAACATCAGACATAACTGCGTGATTATCCAGGTATTTTTTGAAATATTATTTATTTATCATTGAATATCTTTATGTAAGTACTACAAAATTGGGCAAGTTTAAAAGTTTAAAATATTGCACTGAAATTAAGTGTTATATTAAATTATCCCTCTAAGCGTGCAATCTCAGCGGCAACACCATGCTCAACTCGACACGTCATGTTTTGTGTATCGGGTAGGGGTGTGGGCTTGCTCATTTCAATTGCCTCAATCAGTCCGTTAATACTTTCCATATATGCTATTAACTCCAAGCCCTCGGCAGTGCGACCCTCCCTGTCTAATTTAGCCAGTTCATTATTCACATCTATTTTCACGACTTTCAATTCATTTTCAATCTCGTCCATCGTATAAGTGCCATTGCATGCACCGGTAGGTGTAGACTCGGACACTAATAATAAGAATTAATTATTGTGACAAGGTTAGTTAGATATTTATTAGTTTCTATTAAAAATATATTAGATACATACAATTTGTTGCCCATAGTATAAGTGATACAATCATTAAATATTTCATGATTATTGACGTAAATTAGTGTTTAATTAATAAATTAAACTGTTGTTAAAATAAGTTGTGCTGTTAATAAAAAATAATTTTGAAAAATATTTTCTATTATTTATATATAAAGTTTTATCACCCGGATATCATTGATAAAGTAATAAGAGCATATGTTTCTATTTTGAATTAACAAAGTATAAGTTGTGCTGTTAATAAAAAATAATTTTGAAAAATATTTTCTATTATTTATATATAAAGTTTTATCACCCGGATATCATTGATAAAGTAATAAGAGCATATGTTTCTATTTTGAATTAACAAAGTAAAAAATACAGTGTTTCATAATAAGAAAAATAAAGTATTATTTTCTCATAAATATATCTGATATATAAGTACGGTAATCTTTTTAATCATTATTTAAGATTAGTTTTTATTAATAATATTTTTCTACGCAAAGCAGATGTATGTATTTTAATTAATGCATTTAATGTAGTTTGCAATTAATAAAAACCTCTTGGACAAAAAAATATTAGACTACTCTCACCAAAAATGGGAGGTTAGTTGCAAATATAACTCAATTCAGTAAAAATTAATTATATTAATTATTTTTATAATAAAATAAGACGAGTATTTCATAATATTTTTAATCGTATATATAAATAAATATTATTATTCTTTTTACAACTTTGAATGTTAATTATGCAATATATTAATT